CTATCACAAAAAGGAAAATTTCATATATTAGGTTTGACATACTACCATCTTCATAGTCATTAGCAGAGTTCTTTTTTTTTTTTTTTGGTATCTTTGAGTCAGTCTTGACTTTTGGTGACTGCCTCGACTAGTCCCTGCAGTTTTCTGGGCAAGCTTTTTCAGAAGTGGTTTGCCAGTACCCCCTTCCCAGGGCTGAAAGGGAGTGACTGGCCCAAGGTCACCCAGCTGGCTTTGTGCCTCAGGCAGCACTAGAACTCATGGTCTCCTAGTTTCTAGCCTGATGCCTTAACCACTACACCAAACTGGCCCTCCACTTGTGCTTTGGAGAGGTATAAATTGAGGTTGAATTATACTATTGTTTTCTTCTAGTGAGGCAAATCTTCTTGCCATCATCCCTTCCTGCCCATTGTCTCTTTTTGCTCTTGCAAGTTTATATTCAACATTTAGTTTATAAAAAGCAGTGGTTGCAACTTATGAATACATTATCTTTCTATCAACAGGCTTTCAAATTTTGGTATCCTAAAAAGAGATTTCATTAATTCATAAGCATAAGTTTGCTACAAACTTTAATCAGACAGCACTTCCTCCTTCAGATGTATATGGATTTTTGCCTTCATACTCTAATTGTGCCTTTCCAGAGGCACTTAGTTGGAGTAAAGGAATTAAATGGAGGGTTCTTGAAGAGATCAACTTCACAAACAAGATATAGAATGAATCAGAGCATATATAGTTTATTCGGAAAACAAGGTAGCTGACACACTAACAGGGTATAATTCCCAAGTAAATCTGGTTTAAGTTCCCCTTCAAGCATAAAGGATATTGGGAAGCCTTGGATTTATCACCATTTATCAGCTAATCTATTTTGCAGGGTTGTTATAAGGTTAAAATGGAAGTGGTAGCGTACACTAACTTGGCCTCCCTAGAGGATAAGAAGGACACAAAGGTAACAATACATGTCAATTGACAGCATCGCTAACCAAAAACAATGCATAAATTTCTCTTCCTCCAGAGTATAATACTCCTGATTTGTATCATCATGAAAACTATTAATAAAAAAACCCTACACAAAATATTAAAATTAAAAGGTAAGTAATAACTGGATCACTATTTCCTCACTGCATGTTTCATGGTCATCTTGGAAATAGGATACTTTTTACATTTATATCTCCTTTGAGCCTTCATGTTATTTTGTAATGTATATTTCATATGAAAGGGAAAAGGGAGGAAACAATTTTCCATGTACAGGTAGTCCTCGGCTTACATCCATCCATTCAGTGACCACTGAAAAAATGGACATATGACCAATCTCCAAAGTTCCAGCCATCACAGCATCCTGCCCTGGCCTGCCTTGACTCACACGCAGCCTGTGCTGGGCCTCCCAAGCCCTCCCCCAACCTGCCCCACCCCCCTGTGGTATCCCCATATTCCATACCTGGGACTCCCACCACTTCCCACTTAACGACCTGCGCGTCTTGGGGTTACAACAGCAACCGGGACTGCCAGGGTTGCCATCGCTAAGTCATGTAGTCATGTGATGTTGCACTTTACGACCACATTGCTTAGTGATGGTAATTCTGGTCCCAATTGCCTTTGTAATCTGAGGACTACCCACATACAAGACTAATTCAAAAACCTTCTGCAAGCAATTCATGCAAAACTCTGCTCAGAGTGAACCTTCTCTCCACAGATAATCCACATGGGGGAAAAAAGAAGCCAAAGCCCACATGGGGGTGGGGGGAGAGACAAAGAGAAAATGAATGGGCTGAAAGAAAGAAGGGGGAAAAAAGGAAAATAATAAAATGAAGACAGGTCCCTCTGGATCCAGTTTTGATTGTCTTTCTACTCACTGCTGGTATGTATACTCCAGATATCTATGGGAATCCAGCCCTGGCCAGAAAAAAGGTTCCCAGTTCCCTCTCTATGTTCAAACTCTGTGGCAACTAAGTGTGGTGTGAAAAAATATGGAAATCAGAGCAGTAATTCCACTAAATCAGCCACCATGACAGGTCCTAGAGATATGACAATGGGGCATGTTGTATTTCCTTTAACAAGCTTAAGCAGCTTGGGGGCAAATTAATGGGAGACCTAATTTGGTAGTCAATAGTATCCTTTATTTTTTTCAGAGTTGGTAACTTGATAAACTTCATGGGCTTTTTTGTTTAGCTGCTCTATCATTTCATTGAAACTCTTTCTTTCTGATGTTCCTGTGGCTCTTCCTACCTCTTCTTTATAAAAAAGGCAGTTTCTCTTATTTCTCCAGTTCAACTTCCCTTGTGTAGTACTAGCAGCTTCTGTTTCTTTTTTTCATCCAGCACTGATATAGACTGAACTTATTCCTTCTGTCTCCCCATTTATGCTGAGGCTCTCATATTTTTATTTCTGACACATTATTTTCATTACTATCCTTTATTTGCCTATTTGGAAATAAGGCCCAAGCAGGGAGAAGCCTGCAACTTTACTATATACAACAAAGATAAGATATACTGGTAGCAAAAATTTTTAGATGCCCAAAATGATTTCAGTTATATCATTAATGTAAGAATGTATATGTTATCTTCAGACTTCTTCATTCAGCTTTTATTACTTAATAGTTCTCTTCAAAGTACACTGTGTTTATTTGTAATATTTCAGCCCCATCAGTGAAAATACAGTTTGATTTTTATCATCTTTCTGTCTAAAGGCCAAATGTACTAGACTTGTGCTTGCAACATCAGAATGGTAGACATATGGGGCCAGGCCCTGCCTTTAGGTCAAACGTGATTAATTCCTGCAGTTATCTCATAAAGGGTGGCTATGGGGAGCCAGTGCAAGCAGATACCTGGCTGAGTTTCCTAAACTGGGTTCTGCTTCTTAGCAGAGACTGAGGATGCACTCTTGTCAATAGCATAAAGGGAAGGAGGTTTACTTGCCAATCCAGTCAGCTCCTGTTTGTGGAAAGGGGAAAGGTGTCTTTCTGTCAGGTCGGCCCTGGTAGCTTTTACCCACAAAGGGAATTTCTTCCTGTTTCTCTAGATTTTTCAGTGGGTGTTAGGTGGAAATGTGATTAAATGAGTATGGGCTCCACTATGGTTATCTGCTTGCTATTCTCGACTTCCATAACTTGTACACAACTTCAGGTCTGAAATAATTTGTAACAGTCATTAACTCTCCTTGTTCAGTTTTCCAGTTATTGAAAAGTGGCTACTCAGTGTCCTTCCATTTTGAAGTTGGAAACTGCAGTTGAAACCCTAAATAGGCAATTCAGATAAAAAAATAAAATTCTAAAACTCCCTCAAAGAAACTTATGCCACTCACATGTGTAATTTTATGGAACTCAGGCTCTAAAAACTTATCACTGCCATTCCTGATTTATAATAATAGTCTTTAATTTCTGCATAGTACGGACTAATGTTTCCTTAACATGTATTATGAGTCTGCTTTAACTTAACGAAAAAAAAAGAAAAAAACATTTTAGACATTTTAACTATGGTGATGAAATCTACCTCAGGCTAGTTGTGACTTAACTGTTGATCCTGATATACCTGATGATATCTATAACACAATTTCTAATGTGTTTCATGCTTCTTTTAGATCATATTTATAAATTTGTAAAGGTAAGGGGTTGGGAGTATGTTCAGTAACATCTACCATTCAGAATAAATTAATCTATTGCATTCCCCTATGTGTGGCACTAATTATATTTCCATGGTTAGCTTTATAAAGAACTGTAATACTGCAGATGATGCTTGAAATTTACCATGGATTACAGGATTATACAGAAAGATCAGTCCACTAATTATCAAGCGAAATATAGGAAATATGGGCTTCTTAAAGTAGAGAAGAAATAGTAAACTAAATGTCATTAGCTAGCTGTTGCAGATTTATTATTGTGATTCAATCCTCCACAGGGAACCCCAAGAACTTGTACATGCAAGAAATACTTTTCTGCCCTCTAGTTCATTATCCTGAGCCCCTCCAGCATGCTTAGCTAGCAAAAGGATGTGTCTGTGGAAGTTAGTAGTTTTTGCACATTTCCCAGCTGCACACATATAGCTGCGTTTATGACTGCTGGCACATGATCACTGGATTTAGAGCTCAGGATTGTTGGTAGTTTCCACACACCCTTTTTACTAGCCCTCTTAACTTTGATCCACTTGGCAGCTATGGGGAAGCTCAATTATGTTCCCCCACTTTCCACTAACAAATTAGGAAGAAGGGGAGGATCCCATTAGCTATTGACCATAGTAGAACCTAAAAGGTAGCAAGAGAGATAAAGGTAAACATAGCCTGCTCGTGGCAGTTTTGTAAGCAGCCCTTGTTAAGTGTCAATATTTATAGATTGGAGATAGCAGGTTTGCTCTTTGGTATTGTATCAAGACTGTGCAAATATGATATCTGTGAATTATTACAATGGGTAATGTACCGCAGGTTACATAAGCATTAATTCCAGCCTTGGGGGAAAAGTGGATCCTATTCCCCTTTGCCTATGTAAATTAAACTATGCTATTTTTAACAGATTATTAGCCCAAGATGAAACAGAAGTATTTATTAGCTACCAAATGGCATGATAAAACAACTGATGTTTATAGGTAGCAAAGAGGATGTGCTTGGGGCCATTTAAAAGCAAACAGCTCCACACCGAGGGCTAGTAGAAAGCAGAATAATATACAATCTCTCTTCCTTTATCCATTGGAGAGCTACCATTGGGAGGCTAGCTTTAACACAGATAGCTGAATCACTCTATCTGCATCTCCGTCACATCTGCCATCAATATTTGCCAGTCACTGGCCACTGCCTAAATGTTTGACAGATGTTCAGCTGGAAACAGGAAGAGCAAATCAACTTTCACAGGGAATGTGACCCACTAGTTTTAACAACCACTTTCCATTTCAGGACAGAGAGCTTTAGACATCTTTACTACAAGTATTGACACTGAAATAGGCAGAGCGCATGTAGACAAAAATCTCACATAAAGCAAGGAGGAGAAGGAAAAGAAGGTATAGAATGAAAATTTCATTGACCTGATTTGTCAGAGATGTTGGCCGGGACTGGCGTGGCAGAGCCGTTCGTGTTAGCCATTGCGCCGTTCTTAGAAGCAGCAGCTTTTGGTCTCGCTTTCGTTGCTTCTAGTGCTTTGACCTTCTTGGCATGTTTACTTCCTTTGTAGTGGGCCTCAGCCTGGCTCTACAAAGGAGAACAAATCAGGCTCACAATTCATACTTGATATCGCTCATGGATGAGAAGGTTGAAAAAGAAAAGTTATACAACTTCCAGTGAGAGGCACTACGTTCTTTTGCCTAAGAAGATTTAATAGTGCTTTATTATTAATATTGCTCTGTGATTTTGCAAGACACATATCTGACTTTAACAGAGATCTTACTGTAGAGCATATATTTTCATGGATTACAGCAAAAGGAACAACCTCCGTACTAATTTTTGAATTGTATTCTACTACAGTTTTAACCCACTTCAGGAAGTTCAATGAATCAGATTTGGAAACTAGATATTTATCTGACTATTAAGGGCCCAATCTTATCCACAATTAGAATACAATTCTATTGAAATCACTATGAGTTTGCACAAGATTATAGCCTATTTATTTGTCTTTATGAATGCATACTTGCTTATGACGGCTTGTGTTTATTACTAGTCCTGTATGGGACTGCACAACTTGGTGAATATATTCCATCAGGCATTTTTGTGGCCTATTATGTGTATGGCAACTCCACTTCCCTGCTCTGCACTCACCCAGGTTTTGTAATTCCAGGCTTGTGTCAAAAAAGGGAGGTTCATTGAGCCTCTGGGACTTCAGCCTAAATGACTAGATGGCCAACAAACTCTAGTCAACTTGGTAGCATACAATGAAGCCTACATAATTACAGCATAAGCAAGTATATTCAGTTTTATGGAGACAGAGCATTTATTAAGAGAGAGCAATTTCTTATGGAGTTAAAAGTTCTAATGAAAGATGTCCATATTCTCACTTGAGAATAGTGAAGAAAAGCTTTTCACTTGACCCACAGAAATAGATCTTTCCCCTAAGATAAATATGAGGTCTGGGATCAGGAAGAAGAATCACCATAAGATCACAAAACAAATAAGGATAATATAGTTACTCACATTGAGACTTTCTGAATTATACTGTGCCTGTGTGGATATATATGGGATTGCAATGTAAATTAAATATGAGTTTTTGTCAATGTTTTTTGAAAACCAGACCTCTCTCTAAAGGTACATCATCTTTGAATATACATGCAGAGTAGTTATCAATGAGGGTACCTAAGGCCTTCTTAACATCTGTAATAGCACCACAATAGGGGGGGAAACCATCTCTCACGTTTAGCTATTTAATACTAAATACCCTAGCAGTTTATGCATGTGGAAGAGAGTATGTCTATTACCTAGCGTTATTCTAACAGATTTGTTCCCAAGATATTTTTAATGAGAGCAAAGAATTAATCTACATATTTTTTAAAAATTGAAAATTAAATAGCATTGTATACCCATAAGTTTAAAATTACAGAACATATGTGCCTTTATTGAAGTGTACATATTAACTATACATTAATAGTTAATATCAGAAGCAAGTGTAATTTAGCACACAGGGCAAGACACCCTATCCCTAAATACAATAAAATCCCATTCATTTCAATTACTCTTCCTCTATATGGAAAATAAAAGAAAAAAAAATACCACCATACATGACATTAAGGTATGGCCAGACTTTGGTGGCACACATATACAATGCAAAAGACATTTCTTGTATCATGCAATGTACTGCTAAGAATAATGCCATGGCTGACATGCCTTAGGAATACAGCCTTTTGACTGCTGTGTTAAATTGAAAGCAAGCTATAAAACTAAGTGTACAAACTTTTCTCAGCACCTCTGCTACGCTCCAAATTCTTCAGGGTGCTGTTAACATTATGTTGCTATAGAAAGGGTGACTGAATTAGTCTCAGTGCAAGTAGGTGCCATACAAGAGTCACTTTGGGACATCATGTAATAAGGCAACCTTGTCACCTGGGTGTAAGTAAATGGAACAGATGGAATGGAAAGGAAGATGCACATATTCGTCTGTGTTCAGTAAAAATCCTCGTGGCATGTAAATAACGCATCATCGAAATCAATGCAGGTAAAACATCCATTAGGATTCAGCAGTTAGGTTAAAAAGAAAGTAACACCAAACACATTTTCTGTTCTTAAAAGAAGAAAACACACTGTATTTCTATAAGGCCACATCATGTTCTCTGTGCAAAACTGTACAGAAAATAAAGTTAAAATTATATGTGTACATGCACACAAACATATAATAATCTATCACTAAAATATGGGCTACAATACGGATTGTTAAAGCTATTAAAAGCTTTTCAAGTGTATTAGTATCATACAAAGAAGGAGGGAAACTGATTAATCAACTAGTGTTTAAGAACTAGTAATTCTAAACTTGTTTACCTGCAAGGAAATCCCCCTGAGTTCAGTAAGACTGACTTTCTAGCAAGCAAATGTAAGATTATAAAGGTTCTTCAGCAAAAGCCTTTAGCAAGACCCTATCTCTGAAGTATATAGTACTTAAAGTGACACTAGTCTATTCACATGTAATATAGATTTTACTGAATATTGTGCAATACTATCTGCTGGATTGTTTATATAATCATATATATATATTTTATGTTATATAACATAAAAAGAGTCTTTATGGCTCCATGATTTCAAAAAAGTATTTTTTTCACTGAGTTTTTGGAAGTCTATCATCAGCAGTTTTAGTAGAACATTATTTATTTAATATATAATGTACTTATAATTACTATAATGTTATATACATTATAACAATTTTCTGCTGCTTGTTGACACGTAGGAGCAGTAGTAAACTTGCCCATCTCTGCAATGCTAATACCAGGCTAGCTATTTGTTGACCAAAATGGCTACGAAATCCTGAATTGCATAATAAAACTTACACTTAAGGTGCTTCCAGACGCTACTTTTATTATGCAATCACCCTGCATTGTTCATGAAATTATATAAGATATCCACTCAGACAACACTGCCTTCCATTGGAATCAGTCCCACATTTCCCTAACATGTTTTTTTTCTATAAGGAGAAAACAGTGTTGCCGCACAACATCTTTTGACTGGTAGCTATAGGAACCATTTGTCTGGAAGCTCTTCTAGCTTGTCCCTCAGGCTCAGCTATTTTCTGTGTTCCTGCCATCACATTTCTGGGCACTGTTATTGCTTTTAGCTTTCTAAAGCAATAAAGACTATGTGCTCTGTGAATAGCATATGTAAACTGGCTTTGTCAATAAATGTATCAGCAAAAGTGCAGGGAGGAGGAATGAGATGGGGGTAGACTGCTCTGAAACTATTTTCTCTCAGGAATTTTATAAGAATGAAAGCAGAAAGCAAAAAGTCCCCTAGTGCCTTTTTTTAACAAAATATTTTTTCTATTACTTCTTTTTCAAATGTCAAGGACACCTCATATAAAATAGATTGGAGTTCTCCTGGTTCATTCATTACCTATAAGGAGAGAGCAGAGCAATACAGCATTATTAAGGTGGCTTCAGAGCCACACGGGAAACAATCCGACCTCTCCACTAATCAGTCAATGGTGGCCTTGGTCACTCTCCATCAAACCAGACCTGCTTGGACAAAACTTTGCCCTTAAAGCTGAGACCTCACCTCATAACATTGTGTCAACTGCAACAGCGTCAACTGATTATGTATGAATTTGGAGCCACGTCTGGTTATACCCATTGACTCTATTCTTCTCCTCATTACCCAGTTCCTTCTTTATCTGTGGGACTCCCAAACAGAAAGTTCCAGCACCACTAATCAAAAAGCACTGAATGATTATTCTATGTTTTACTTCTGGAAAGAAAAATGACTGAAGAAGTGGTGGTTTAAGACAGGAGGGCTACAAGCACATCCTCTGAATCCCTTGTAAACCTCTATGTATAAAGCAATGTAGTCGCAGAATAAATTCTCCATTTGGAATTATATTTTTTATCCAGACTTGTTTTACATCTACATTTGCCTTGGTATATTTTTGTTTCCCCTTCATGGATCACTGACGTGTTGTAGAGAAGGGGCTTGTGTAACTCAATGAAGCCATGAGCTATGCCGTGCAGGGCCACCCAACATAGTCAGGTCATGGCGGAGAGTTCTGACAAAACATGGTCCACTGGAGAAGGAAATGCCAACCCACTCCAGTATCCTTGCCAAGAAAACTCCATGGACAATATCAAAAGGCTAAAAGAT